AAAGCAAGGAAGTCAGGCAAAATGTCTCACACCTGCAATCCCAGCTACTCAGGAGGCTGAGGTGGAAGGATACCTTGAGCCCAGGAGTTCCAGGCTGCAGTAAACTATGGTCACATCACTGCCCTCCAGCCTAGATGACAGAGTGAGACCCAATCTCTAAAATACATATACATATATATAATTTTTAAATAAAAATAAATAAAACAAGTATTTCAAGTAGAGATGAAAGCATGTGCATTGAGCCTGTGGGTTCAAGACCAGCCCGGGCAACTTGGCAAGACCTCGTCTCTACAATAAGTCAAAAAAATTAGCAGGGCGTGGTAGCGCGTGCCTGTAGTTCTGGCTACTTGGAAGGCTGAGGGGGAAGGATCACCAGAGCCCAGCAGGTCGACGTTGGGGTGGTTGTGAGTGTGCCACTGCACTCCAGCCTGGGAAACAGAGTGAGACTCTAACTCAAAACAAAACAAAAAAAAAGCAATGTGCAAAGGTCCTAAAGTTGATAAGAGCTTGACTTGCTGACTGAGGGAGAATGATGAGAGATGGACTCACAGAGAAGCCAAAAGAGCCAAACCCCTGTGGGCTGCAGAAGCCAAGTGCAGGAGTTTAGATTTCATTCTAAATGCAGTAGCCATTTCAATGTTGTCAGCAGAGTTTTAAGCAAGGGAAGAGGACAATCTAATTTAGGACTCCAGCAGTTTATTCCTCCTGACATGTAGGGAATGGGTTGGAGTGGGGAGCAGGCACAGAAGTAGATTCTTAAGAGGTCCGTTCAGTGCCAGAAACACTGACAATGAGAATTCCCAAACTGGAAGGATGATAAGACCCCATAAAGTCCATTAAGCAGTGGAGCACATCTGGAAGACAGATGTGCCCAGAATACTCCAACTGGTCTGCCAATACCGGAAACTACTCATCACTGGACTCTCATACAAGTAGTCAAACTTCTCCGTGCCATAGGACAGAGCACAGTGGCACCTCTTCCATGTGCCCAGTCCATTTCCCCATCTGAACTCTCCTAGTCTTTCACTCATTCTTCTCACATACTATGTGGGATCTCTCCCTTGTAGAATAGTCAGTGGTATACTCATCTCTCTTCTCCTCCCAGATTCCAGACTTTCTCAGTCACAGTTCTACCATCCATAGTGTGAGGCCTGGACTCTGTGTTTGTTGTTGATGATAACACCATGAAAGTGATACCCTCACCTTGCTTCTGGTTTGGTTGAAATTCAAAAATTTAAGTTCTTTGAGCTGTCACTGTCAACTTGCATTTCCTCTGAAAATGTAAAAAAATAATAACAAGATAATAAGAAATGCAAGCTAGAGTGTCTATTTTTTCCAGAGAGTTGGTGGAAAGACATGACTGACATTCCAATACATTCCAACCTAAACGGGAGGAAGGGCCACGGGACCCCTGCCACTGGAAGCTTCCAGACTTCACTTTCAGCTGCCACCTCTGAGGCCCGCTCAGATGTTGGTATTGGTGGGGGGAGTTCCAGGTACCCCTGCTGAGGCAGCAGCCTCCAGAGGCACATGGACTGGGAGAAGGCAAACAACAGGATCCCCACCTGCACCTTCTGTGACGGGGGAAGCCCATCATTGGACACTAAAGCTGCTGTCTATAACCCAGCTAGCTGCCCCCTTACCAACAGCCTGCTCCACCATACCATCCAAGCTCGGTTTCTTGGTGTTTTTAGTGGAATTCCCAATTCCTGAGGCTTTAAAACTCTGAGCTAAAAATATGATGTCAGTTGGCACATGGCCCGGATTCTGGAGTCCCAAAGAAAGTCGAGGGGTAAATAAAAAGGGGTGTGCTCAGAGAGGAGCAGGCACAGCAGCAAGAAACCCAGGCCATGTGGTGACACAAGGGAGGAGGCGGAAGAGGAAGGTGTCAGCAGGGAGAGGGAGCCGTTATTAGAGGAAGAAAAAGAATTGAAGATCTTTTAAATAACAGTTCTTTAAGAGAATATGGCAAGCACTCTCCTCTAAATTAACTTTCTACATTCTCAGTCCAGTAATCCAGATGACTGCTAATTTTCAAAGCAGTATAAATTGTTTTATATGGGGTTTCCTAGATAAGTCCTTAGAGGGTTCTTTGATAGGCATTATGGCACATTTTAATCTAAGTTCTGCATTTTAATTGATCTGCCAAAAGATCTTCTTAGAATTAAAATGTACTTTTAGAATTTCTTAACCCCCAAAGATGATAATTAACTATCAAAATGTGTTTAGAGCCTGAACAGCAAATTAGAATATCAAAAGGATTAACTTAGCCATGCACATCACTGGGGTTTCTCAGCTCTGCAATAAATTCAATGAAAAAAAATTTTTTCCAAAATGAAAACAACTTTGTTACTTTAATAAGTAAAAAATTCCCTCATGCTCGCTTTGTTCCATTTTTTAAAAAGCTCCTTCAATACAAAGAGTATATATACAATATAAAAATAATCTAGGATCCCCCCCCCATGGAAATTATCACCATTAACTTTTTTTTCTCTGAGAGAGGGTCTCGCTCTGTCATCCAGGCTCATTGCAGCCTTGAACTCCTGGTCTCAAGTGATCGTCCCACCTCAGCCTCCCAAGTAGCTGGGGCTACAGGTTCTTGCCATCACATTCAACTTAACTTTTTGTAGTTTTTGTAGAGACTGGATCTCACTATGCTGTCCAGGCTGGTCTCAAACTCCTGGCCTCAAGCCTCCCCACCATCAGCCACCCAACGTGCTGGGATTACAGGCTTGAGTTACTGCTCTTGGCCTAGACCCAGAATAACTCATTGCAGCAATTAGTTCTGATCATTATCAGGAAATCCATAATGTAACCTACACATTACTCTTTTTCAAATATATAATCACCTTTATACGTACCTAAAAGACATATGATAAAAATAATTTTTTTTCTGATTAAAAAAAAAGCTGGGCACAGTGGCTCATGCCTGTAATCTCATCGCTTTGGGAGGTAGAGATGAGAGGATTGCCTGAGTCCAGGGGTTCAAGACCAGCCTGAGCAACTTGGTGAGACCTCATCACTGCAATAAATAAAAAAAATTAGCTAGGTAGGCGTGGTGGTACATACCTGTGGTTCCAGCTACTTGGAAGGCTGAGGCGGAAGGATTACCTGAGCCCAGCAGGTTGAGGCTGCAGTGTCCATGAGCGTGCCACTGCACTCCAGCCTTCCAGCCTGGGCAACAGAGTGAGACTCCAACTCA